GTTCAGCCCAATACAAGGAACCAGATCAATTTTGGGTGACCCTGCTCCCTTGGCTCTGTTATTTCATGAGAATCGGGACTTTCAGACAATTCTAACACCCTCCTGCCAGAAGATTTAGATCAAGACATAGAGAAGAGAGAGAGAGGACCTTGGCAATTGGCCTTTCTCCCAGGGAACCAGACCAGGTGCCTCAGGGTGAATAACTAAGGCAAAACCCTCTCTCATCTTTGGTTCCTGGTGGCCCCAGAGCTATGGCGTCCGTGGTGGATCCCATTCAGTGAAAGATTCTAACCTCACCTCTGTCTCCTTTTCACAGTTCTCACACACAGTGTCCAGACTCAAGGATAGCACCAAGCACTGTAAAATGCTTTTTACCAAGTAGCCTTGAAGTACTTGAGGTCAGCAGGGTTTCCTGAACAGTCAGGGCTGGTTGTGAGACAAAATGAAAGTATTTGCCTGTGGAGAAATTTCCACATGTGAACCATAAACTCCCATATCCTGCTTTTGGCCAGACTTGGACTTCCCCAGAGTTGGTCAGACATTCCCCTGGTGGCCTCAGCAGCAAACCAAATATTCTGTCTCCCGTCTCCCCCCATCTTCCCTTCCCTCCCTTCACCTTCTCAGTCAGTTGTCTTGCATAAGTTGATAACAAATAATGTCGCCACTTACTTTTTCTCCTTCGGTTTTCTGCCCCTGGTGAGCCAGCTTCTCTCTCTGCCTCTGGCTTAACTGTCCTGGCTGGATCACTAATGGCCCCTCTGTCGCTAAAACCAGGGGCACTTTTTCTTTTCTTACCTGACCTCTAGGCAGTAATTGGCATTGTCCACCACACCCTTAATTTTGAAACATGCTTTCCCCAAACTCTTCCATTTTCCTTCCACCTTTGCAGACTCTTATGCCTGTTGGCCATTCCTTAAATGGTGGTCACCCTCGGGGTCCTAGACAAGACTGTCTCCTCTTTTCCCTCTCCATTCCCTCCAAGGATGAACCAAACACACCTGTGGCATCCACCCATCGCCGCTTTCGGTGTCGACTCCTAACTCACTATGTGCAGCCCAGTCGTCGCTCTTGATCTTTAGTCTGTATTCCCAAGCACTTGTGGACATCTCTATTTTGCTGGCTCCCAAATCTCAGACCCAGTATGTTCAAGCTGACACGAGAACCTTTCTCATTCCGACCTGTCATATCCCATACGTATGGTGGCACTGTCCACTGATTGCCCAAAACCAGAAGCCTGAGAGGAACCCTTGCCTCTTTTCTCATTTATTCTCTACAACCCATCAGTGCTCAAATCCTGTAATTCTGTCTCGTAACCTTCCACCACATCTTCACTAAGTGGATTTTGCTCTTTCAGCCTTATCCTCCTTCAGACCATCCTTCATACTGGAACAAGCATGGTCTTGCTCTTCAGTGGCTCCTCATCACCCTTGGGATAATGCTCTGACTTCCGAACTTGGCTGATAAAGCCATACATGATTTGGTCGGTTCTTACCTTCTGCCTCTCATTACACTCATTTGCCTCCTGAATGCTCTTAGGTGCTCTTATCCCCTCAATTTCACATGATTTATTTCTTCTCTGTAGCTCATTATCTCAGACTTATCTTTGGGACCTAACTGGAGACACTTCTACTCAAGTCTTTCCTGGGGCCCAAGTGTAGAGAAAATGTCCTACCTTCAAAATCCCATAACACCAAGCACTTATTCCTATTAGAACATTGGTCTCACTCTATGGGGGACACAGACAAGAGAGTGTGGGTTCTAGGGGGAAGAGGGAGCATAGGAAGGGCCTTTTCTTGTTCTTTGTTGACAGGGCACTGGACATACTGCCCTGCACACACTAAGATGCTCATTGTATGAATGAATGAACTAACAAAGAACTCAGCAAGTATTAGAGTCTGTGTTCTCTTCTTATTTCCGCATAGCCATTTGGATGCTCATGAGCTCCAGCAATCTTTAATGAGTACTTAAGGCATGACGAATATTTCTCTCATTTTATTTAACCCTCACAATATCCTGTGAGGTCAGGATTAGCCCCATTCCATATTTCATGCTCAGGTGAGAGATGATTTGCTCTAGGTAAGAGAGTCAGAAGATCTGGGTTAGGGTTCTAGTCCTAAGTCCAGGGCCCTTCCCATCTTGATTTTGGTGTCATACATCAGTAAGCTTTGATTCTGCCCATTTCCATCTTCCATTCATTTCTGGCCTGATATCTATTTCCTCTGGTCAAAGTTCATTTTCAAATTCAAGGAAGTCTGAGGGTATGGAAGAGATATTCTATTCCAAAAACTTGGTTCAGTGGCTGCTCTGGAGAGTTGGGATTTGATGTCAGAAGAGGTCAAGGGTGGAGGAAACAAGAGTTTGTAAACTTATATCACCCATTTGGGTGGCAATGGATTTATTAAACTGAAAATGTCATTAACCCTTGAGCATAGTATCTTGTGCTTTCACCCACATGATGGGGGTATGAGTGATAGCTATTCCCAAAAGGGAAGGACCCAGCATATAATGAATATTCACTATGGGTCAGGAACTGGTTTTATCTTCTTGAAATCCTATAAAATAGGTATTTTGCCTGCATGAGAAAAATTCTGGTAGAGGAAGTGACCGAGGTTATACAGTTAGTAAGTGGCTGAGCTAGTTTCAGAATCAGAGCTGCCTGGCTCCCAGGCACTTTGCATCATGTGGCAGACAGTGGGTTCTGGAGGCACACTGCCTGTGCTCGAATTTGGTTCTATGACTTTATTAGGATGTGTAACTTCGCGAAGCCACTTAATCTCTCCAGACTTCAGAGTTTTCATTTCTTAAGTGTGGGATAATAATACTTCTTATAGGTTGTGGAGAGGATTAAACAAGGTAATATCTGTAAAGCATATTCCTATACATATTAAATGTGATATGTCAGCTCCCATCATCATCATCGTCATCACCATCATCATCATCCTCTCCACCACCACTGCCTTCAGTCCCTCTACTTGCCAATAAGGTAGATCCTTCTGGGCCATGATATAAATGGGTACTCAGAATTCCTCTTGAAGACTTGAGCGCTCTTTGGAATTTAACAGTTGGTCAAGGACGTTAGGTGCATGGCTCAGGACACATGGCAGGAGGGACTGAAAGTATAGTTGAAACACAACAAAGGAGACCACAGCTATGTGATGGACAAATAAATCAGCTGGTTAGCTGGGAGTGCTACCCTAGGAATTGTCCTGCAAATAGGGTTAATGTTTTCGGGGGAGACGGTAGCTTAACTTGGCATGTTTGGGCATTCTACCTAGTTGCTGCCAAAAACATATTTAAATTGACTTGATAAGATTTATAGTAATAAAGTACACTTCATGTAATGACTAGTGTTTTGGGAGCTCTTGCTAAATGTCTCAGAGAATTCTGTGCTAAGCACTTTGTTATCTTATTTAATCTTTGCAATAACCCAGTGTCGTGGACATTTTTATTATTTTGATCTTACAGATGAGGCCACTAAGGCTCACAATTAAATGTTAAGTATGATCACCGTTGTCCAACAAGTAGAAGAAAAAGCTAGCATTTGAATCCAAGTCACGCTGTCTCCAGAGTCCATATTTTTTCTTAACTATCGTCATCCCCTCCCACTGGGGCTTCTTACCAATCTCGGCTTCAGGTGCCTAATTGTGTGGAGGACCTCAAGAGCCAGTCTTCATTCATGTACAGACTATCACCCTGAGGCAGATTCGCCAAAGCAGAAGGGAGGAGAGGAGCATTCTTAGATGGAGATATGCCCCTGAGAGTTGAAGGGTTCTGATCTTTATTTTTGCATGGGGAACATCTTCCCACTTGAAACCAGAGGCTAGCTGGCTCACAAGCTCACAGGCCAGACTCCTCCTGGTGCAGCTTCATTTCTCTAATGAGAAATAGATTTAATAGTAGCAGCTAGAATTTATTTTAGGCCTTTGTTCTAAGAACCAATTAAGACTTCCACTTTGCCTTCAACTAATTCTAATATCCTTATATATTTTTTTGAATTAAGGGCTAGAGTGTCCTGGACTAAGATGTCTTAGCAATATTTTTGCCTAAATTCTTTCTTTTTTAGAAAAAAGATTTTGATTTTTCCAGCATCCTTCTCTGTCAGACTTCGAGTATCCCATACACATGGTTAAAAGGACTCTTCACACCGATTTGTACTAATGGACAAGAGAACACAACTTACTCCTAACAACTTAGTTTTCCCAGTGCTGACTTTCTAAGGAGAGTTCTGGACCATCCGGTTTTTTCAAATCAGAACTTGGGAAACAAGATTTGAGGAAGGGTTTTTCCTGACACTTCCTGATTCAAGAGGGACTCTGGAAGATTTAATTTTTTTAGGTTACCAGAGAGAGCCTGACAGAGTGTTCTGGTTTTTCCAGGACACACAGTCACTGCGCATATTGGTCAGGGAGAAAATTGTGGCTGTGTGTCTCATCCCTCAGCCGTGTCCATGTTTATGTAGGTGTTGGGGGAAGAGTGAGGTGCAGAGGGAAATGCAGTGTCACTGTCAATCCTTACGAAGAGATGAATTCTCTATTACAGGAGAATTCACAGGTAGAATTAATAAGTAACCTGAGTGGAGGTAATCTGGAGTCTTTGAAGAATGGTTTAAATCAAGAGGAATTGCTGGACACAGCTGGCAGTGTCTGGAGCCTGGGTGCTAATTCTGAGAGCTGAGAACGATTTCCCTCCAATTCTTTCTTCTCTCCTTTTTCTTTGTTGTTTTTTATTGGGTTTTTATCATCTATCAGACATTCTCCTAAGCCTTTATGTACATGATCTCATTTAATTTTCACACAAGCTGATGAGAGAAGTATGATTGTTATCTCCAATTGACCAACAAGGAAATCAAGGCTCGTAAAGATTAAGTAACTTGCCCCAGATCAGGAAGAGGGAAAAGTAGAGCCAGAACTCAATCCCAGGTTTCTCTGGCTCTAAACCTTGACCTCTCGACCACCATGTCACTGCTTCTTCACTAAATGTTTTCTGTTCTTTGTTCCCAGGGACAGGATGAGAACTTCAGTCAATGTTGTGGGGGACTCTTTTGGGGCTGGGATTGTCTATCACCTCTCCAAGTCTGAGCTGGATACCATTGACTCCCAGCATCGAGTGCATGAAGATATTGAAATGACCAAGACTCAGTCCGTTTATGATGACGTGAAGAACCATAGGGAAAGCAACTCTAATCAATGTGTCTATGCCGCACACAACTCTGTCATAGTAGATGAGTGCAAGGTACCTTTCCCATTCATGGATATTGAGACCTGTATATAATAGTGCATGCTCCATTTCCTAAGACAAGCACAAAAACCCCTGCATGTATTATTGTCACATTTATTTCTCTGAAAGATCGTGTAACCCAAGCTTCTGTGAGTCCCAGATCATCTAACTCTGTGTCTAACGTGGCAGGAAATCATCAGGTCTAACAGTGAGAGAGCCAATCAGTTGCTTGGTTCGTCCATGTGATGTAAAACAGTCATTCTGATCCCCCCATCCAACCACTCCACAAATTTGATTGGTTTTCTTGAACATTTTTCCGAAGAATTTGGTTTCTAAGGCTTTGCTGGATTTCAAATATTCTATTCCTTGAATGAAACACCAAGAGAAATACCCAGAATCACTTCATTTACATAGCATAACTATTCCTTCTTGCTGTGTATTACATATTGGTCAAAAATATGCCCACCCAACTTTGCGCAACTATCTTTCTCTAAATTATTTTTGTGAGGAGGTGAGTTTTGAATTGGCAGTCACTTTGCTCCAAGAATGGGGAAGCTATTTCAAGTAAAGGATAACTATCCTTCAGGACAATTATCCATAGACACTACATTTCCCACAGTGGCAGCACCATCGTTCCTGAAGCATGGGTGTTCTGGACTCTTTCACAAGCTGCTGGGTGCTAAGTCTTCAAGCTTGATGGGCTCTGTCTAGCCTTCATTGTAACTAACTTGACATTGTCAAAGACAGAGTGTCATGACCAGAGTGAAGCAAACTTGGAGAAACCCTGGCAGGTGAGCAGAGTCAACTCCGGGGGTTGGGTTACTAATATGGTTCCAGGCAGCAGCTGAGGGCAAGCTGTACCCGATACAGATTTCTGATACCTTTTTGACTCCCGTTGACAAGATCTCATTTAATAGTTCATTTCTTCCTGGGTTACTTCTGGGTCATTCCAAATATACACCATGGCTTCTGCCAGACAATTAAGGGTAACATAGAAGTGATTTTCTTTACTGGACTGTAACATAGATCCAGAAGTCTAATGGACCAGCAAGTCTTCTGCCTCTCCCCTCTATATCAGGTACATGTGTAGATGAGCCAAGGCTCTGGTACAGATTAAGGAAGGACTCACCCATCAAGAGACAACTGCAAAAATTAATTGACTCAGTGAAAATGTTTCAAATTTTTAGAAATTCAGATGTACCTAAAGCACATATTCCACTCTCCTGGAAAGTTAGTGTTTCCCACATCTAAACAAATGTGCTGGATTATTCCCCCTCAAAATGTTAGTTTGGGTCAACAAGGGTCCACATTCCCGTGGAATGGCTTTATGCTCTATATAACAAGTATTTATTGTGTGCCTTGTGGGGTTTAGTTGAGCACTGCCATCTCATTCCTATGACCTCCCATATTTTGATAATTTATCAAATGTTTATTGAGTGCTCATGATCTGCAAAGCCCTGAAATGGGCATGGGAGGACAGCAAAGCGAATGTCTAATTTTGTAGTAAAGATAAGGCTTAAACCTCTGTCTGGTCCATTCTCCGTCTCACTGTTTTTAAACACCAAGATGGGAGACATCAGTGCTTCCTCCCAGGCCCCCTCTCCTTCTTGCTTTTCTAGGTGGTTGGAGGAGAGAGAGATGGGATGGACTGGGGAGTGGAGCCCCAGCTTCCTTGAACCCAGCCAGAAAAAAGAAAGAAATGCTAAAAAAAAAAAAAAAAAAAAAAAAGCAAGCAAGCAAGCTGCTGTCCTGGCCACTTTGGAAACACGGGCCCCAGTATTCAACCATGATGACAACACAGGGCACCACCCCCAAGTGCTGTCTGGTGTTCCAGAGGCACCTCAACATGATTTATAATTTTGCACAGCTATTGATCTGGTTCATCACTCAAAGCCAAACAGGCACATTCAGGGTTGGAGTGAACAGGCAGCTTTCTCCGGGCAGACAGTTTGTTCCTGGCGGTCTTTCCTGACAGTTCACCGAAGGGGAAACCAGTTTGCTGCAGCTCTGGTCAAAATGTTAACCACTTCAAGCATCGTGGCATCGCGTTGGCCTCTTCCGTTTTCAAACTCTTTCCTTTGTCATTGTAGTTTGACGTTATGCTTGAACTTTTTAATTTTAATCAGAGTAACTGCACGTGGGGTGGTCATGGCTTGTCGCATGGTCTTTCTAGAAAAATATGGGGGCTGCCGACAATTGGAGGAGGAATGAGTAGCTTTTATTTTCACGCGCCTGGTTCAGTTGTCTGTCCCTAGCATGTTGTATGTGTTCCTAATGCATGCGTTTCACTTCCACTCGGGTAAGAAGAAGGTCAGATTTCTTTCAAACATTGCTGCATTTGTCATGTCTCCATATCCTAATGCTTCCATAAATCCAGTCTCTCCATTATGTGGAATATCAGTCGTGGGTTTAAGTTTGCACATGACGTTGAGGACAGACAGATGGAAGGTAAGCTAGGAAACGATTTAGAAGTGGAGGGGTACACCTCCCGTTCGGTGTAAGGGTTCAGTTCGCTTAGAGCCAGGGAAGCCCTAATATAGACAGGCTGGTGGTGATACCTGATTATGAAATGTCTGCACTGAAATCATTTAGGTATGCTTGTCACTGACCACTGGCTTTTAATCCTTTCTTTTCTTTTTCATGTTTAAAGCCTGGATAGCTTATTTGGTATCCAGACCCTCACGTTTTCTGATTTTGCAATTGGGCATGTATAAGCCGACCTGGCCTCCTTGGAACTGAACCTTCCACACGCATGTGTAGAATTAGCTATCGAGTTCTGGGGGGGTTTTCTCTGGTTGTATGGAGTAGCACAAGGACACTGTTTTGTTAAGGACTGCATTCTTACATGATGGGTCTGTGTGTAGTTTGACACGCCCACAACCCTAAAAGCATACTAGACATTATCCCCCAAACAGCAAACTGTCTCTAGCTCCTCCATACTCCCCAAGGCAAATGTGGACTTTTCAATATTTACAAATCCGTGTTGAAAAGCAAGATGGGCTCCAAATCCGTTGGGAAAGAACGACATTTAAAACTAATATGAAAGTCATGTAGCGTAACTTGGATCTGGTGCTCCTCCGCATAACCCGTGGGGTGGTTTTCTGGTTAGTGGCCTGTTAGCTGGATGCTGATGATAATTATTTTCAGGTGACTCTGGCAGCCAACGGAAAGTCCGCCGACTGCGGAGTCGAGGAAGAACCGTGGAAACGTGAAAAATAAGGATATGACTCTCAGCAAATTTTTGAACAAACTCCCCAGCGTATCTTATGGTAAAAAGAGAATATAAACAAGCTGTCTTTAAAAAGGAAAAAAAAAATGCACCTATTTCTTTGTTTACTTAATCTGCTAGCCAAGGCTTCGAGGATCTCTTGTGAGTCAGTGATAGGCGCGGTGCTATGTCTTTGCCAAGTGATGCTTTGTAACTGCCTCATTTTCTCACCTGTATTATTGTCTGAACGGAGATTGCTGGAGGAATCAGTTTGAATTGAAGACACATTCTTGCCAGCTTCCCTTTGCTCTCTAAATGCAGAGCCTCGGAAGCTCTTTTCCCAGGGGACATGACTAAAGTGATGTGGTACACTCCGGGGACTTGGGATAAAGAGCAGACACCCAGTGTGTGATTCCTTCAAGTGTTCTCCGTGCTTCTGCTTTGTTATGCACAAGAGATTCTGTTAGAAGCCTCTAGACGTAATTCTCTTGAAATGTCTTGTAGAGTTTGCCCATGTGTTGATTAAAAGCAAATCCCTGTCTTCAGGAACTCTCAGAATCTATCTTCTGTGGACCCTTTCAACTAAATATTTCAAAGAGAATGGTAGTGGGAACCGTGTTCTTCAAGGCAGCTGATTATGGAACCCACTGAGTTTCTGCTCTGCCCTATCCGGTCTGGGGAAATAATCATTGAAATTTCAAAGTAGGTTTCATAATTTGCTCTCAATTTGATAATGGATTAGGATGTAATTTGTATATGTCCGCTGTACATATTGACGAAAGTAAGAGAACACAGCCAACGTAAACTTTAACCAGATTCAAATATTCAAATGCGTTTGTGTTTGGTTTGCAGTCACCTGGCAGAGTGAAATCAAGTGAGATGATTTGATTGATGCTTTACTTTCCTTGTTTCAGTCGTAAAATTCTTCTTTGGATTTCTAACAAAAAAAAAGGAAATTTTTTTTAATCAGCAAATTATTTTAGTTACAGTCTCATTAACCTAGAAGGCTGAATCATTCGACTCTCCTCACACGTGGAGGACGGTTACGTTGGCTGTGGCTCTTAATACCATCTCTCAATAAAAAACAAAACATCGTCATTGATCTAACACGTAGAAAGCTTTCTGTTGTATTCTCTCAAAGCACATAAAACTAGTTACAGGGCACAGTTGAAAGCAGAGCCAATCTGCTTCCCAGTCTTCTCTGTAGTAAGGAACAGAAAACAAACATGTGCAAAATCCTATAAAGGTGACATTCCCATGGCAAAGTCAAGGCAGCCTTGAGCCATGAAATGGGAGCAAATGATGGCTCCTCACAATTTCACAGATGGCGTCTTCAAGGCTGTCACGGTTTGAGGGAGTAAATAATATAAGTGGATTAGCACCGTGCCTTGTATGCCATTGGCACCCAATGAATCCTGATGATGGATCGTGCAAACTAAACTTGTCAGTTTCTCTACTATCATTTTCTGTTGAATAACTCACAGTATTTTCCTAAGGTTGCAGGCTTTGGGAGTTTGCTGGTAACTTGAACATGAATCACTGAGAAATAAGTACATTTGACTGACTGCGAGGAGCCTGTAGAATCTTGGTCCACACGTAGGAGTCAGGTGGTCATCAGAGACCAGCAGATGGGTGCTGGGGTACACACTAATAGTCGTAGGGTCCAAATGCTCTGAGAAGAGGTTGTGTATGTAGACATCACATACCCTTTATTACCTATTCCTGGTGACTTTTCTCTTCCAAACCAGACACCTTTGGAACATGCAAGAGACGTAAGATTCTAATTGCTTTTGTCTCTCAAACCCTCGTTGTTTTTAGATAAGGATCATTGTTGAGCAGATTTAAGCAGCTTTTTGCCTTTTTTTTTCTTTTTAATGTTATTGGTCTTCATTTTCATTAGATGGACAGTTAATTGGGTCACCAAGGACGTGCTGAAATGTAGTAGTGGACAGTGCATCCTTTACAGCAGATATTGTGGGTCAAGGGGACAGTTCCTGGATTTAGCTGTGAAACTGTTATGGATTGTCTTTAAGTGGTGCTCCCAAGAGCTTTTTGATGGTGAAGAGAAGGATCTAGGCAAGGCACTGAGGAGTTTGTGGGTTTCGCTGTTTAAGGCCAGCTTAGCACTTGTACATGCTGACATGTTTCTCAAAAGAGTGGTCTTGGGATCGTCTTCCCAAGACTCTGCTCCATGTCTTCCTGCTTTGCTTTGTCTTCCTAGTTATCCTATAAATATATAAGGGGACAATGTGTTCAGAAGAAACAAGGTGTACAGCTTAACAAAACAGGTTTTTCTGGTTTTAGACTACCTGTAATAAGTTTCACAAGAACATACTTAGGAAATCACTTTCATCTGGAAATTCACATCATATTTACACTGAATAATCTGTCAAATTCAGGACTAACCCGAAAATCCAGGATGTATGTAGAGCTGATGTATGACTGTGTTCTCTATTTTTTTAGGTCTCATTCATTCTTCTTATGCCATGCCCATTTGGGCTTCCCTTGGCCAGCATGAGTGCCATAAACAGAACAAACAGATCCAGAGTATACCTCTAAGAACCTTTTTCTAAGTAAGATACGTATAATCTTTCCGTTATATGCACAGATTTATATTAATAGGTTCAACACAGATATAAATGCTTGTAACAGTTATTAATATTTGATGATGCATAAGTTATATACAGACACAACAGGCCAGACCCATACACTGCAACCCATAAGGTCTGTAAGTCAGGGCTTTGGCAACACCATTTTGTTACAGACTCATTCACTCTTTTTAGGAATCCGAATCATTTTGAGAGAAAATCAACTGAACAGACTTTCATCCTCCCCTTTTTAATTTTTGCCCACTGGGAAACCCAAGTAGAATTACCATTTGATTACCAACTACAGTTCAATGAGCTAAATCCAGTCAGCAAGAAGAATGGCTTATCTCTCAAGCTGAGGCTTTACCTTAGGTCTTTGAGGATGTGCCTCCCGTGCAGAGCATCAAAGAATCAAGGCAATCATCTAGATCACATAGATCTTCAATAAAGGTCTTCAGGTAATAAAATCTGAACCAAGTAGATGCCAAATTCAATTCTTTATTTCCTATTGGGTTTGGAAACACAGCCTGTAGTCTCATTGCCTGAAGTTACCTTGTCCCGTAAAAGAAAAGTATTAGCTTCTCCTCTGCAACTATTGGTCAGCCGAAAGAAAGGGTGCCAAACGCCTCACTCCTGGATTTAGACTGGTGGAAACTGAGAAGGGCTTAGGGGAAATTCAATTTATGGGGAGATGTATTCCTGGTAGGAAATATCAGGAATCCCAATGACTGAGTAGTGGGCCTCAGGTCATTTCCAACCTTGCATGGGGAAGTATGTCACTTGCAAGCATATCTAGTCAAGAAACCCTTCTGGAGTTGGGTAACTCATGTACTGGCTCCCTGAAAGGAAACCCAATCCTGCCATGTTTTTGCAAATACCACACTTCCTTTGGTTCTCAAGAGCAAATGTTATGGTACAATATTGTACTTTTGTCAGAATCAAGGAATCTGTGCTATAGTTTCCCATGAAATACGGCAGTAAGTCCAAATCAGTATGCACATGCTCAGAGAGAATTTTTCCATGGTTCAGACTCTTGATGAGAAGGTCTTTGCAGCTCTTGCTTGACTTGATGGCCAAAAGGGCTCAGCAGTTACACCCAATGGAGGTGGCTCTTCTTCCTTGCTTTTTGAGTCTTGGGGCCATACAGTTGTCTAGGTTGCTGGTATCGCTTTCCTTATTCTCCAAATAAATTCATTCCAAGGCAAGAAAAAGGACCAATGAGATTTTTTTCAGTTATTGTAATACACACTCTTGGACTTTTAGGGTCACGCTAAGTGTACTCTTTGTCCCCTTCACCTATTTTGCCCATCCCCCCACTCACCTCTCCTCTGGCAACCAGCAGTTTGTTCTCTATATTCAAGAGTCTGGCTCTTTCATTTGCCTCTTTTTATCTTTGTTCCTTTGTTTTGTTTCTTAAATTCCACATATGAGTGAAATCATCTGGTATTTGTCTCTCTCTGACGGGCTTATTTCACTTAGCTTTATATCCCCTCTAAAGATTAAGTTTAAGCAAAGAGCCTGAAGGAATTCTGAAGTGAGAGTTTTGTACATCTAGCTGTCAGAGATTAACAGCCTCAGGATCTCTGGTACTTTCTGGCTGAAATCTAGAATAAGGGCCACTGAGTGCCAACCTGGGCAGGCACTATAGGCAGACTGTTCTCCTTAGGTGAAGCGAGTCCAAAGCTGCTCATGCTATAGTTGCTTATGGTTTTCCCAAAAGGAAAACCCAACTTCCCACTCTTCCTTCTCCTTTCTCATTCCTCTCTTAAGCAGTCATCGTTGCTGCTTTAGAGACAATTTAGTAAAAGACCACATGTTAGTGCAAGGGTTGGTTCTAGAAAAGATGACAAGGAATCTTAATTGAATACTATCTCAATTCATAGCCCAACACAGTGAATTCACATAATGACGTAGGGAGGGTGAGAAATAATGCCGTTGGGTACAAGAAACATTTGACTTAGACTCTGCCAGCTTTTAGCTGTATAACTTAGACAAGTCGCTTTATGCCCAACCCTCATTCCTTCCCATATGTAAAGTGAAGGGGTTGGATTAAGTGATTAAAACTCTCTTCAAGCCCTAAGAATCCATGATATTATGATCTCTGCTTTAATTTCTTTTTTTCAAGAGGCTTACTACTATAAAGTATGACTTGCTTATATTTTAAGTCAGAGTGGCCCACAATAAGGAATAATCAATTTGGATTGTTTTTCATCCCTTTGGGGCAATATTAAATTCAAGCCTCTCTCTTCATTTGATGTTGTACAACAAGCTTGGAAGTTGGCCACGTTAATCCATAGTTTGGTGTTTTGGGATACAAACAGACATCCTTTGACAAAACTGCCCTTTTGCCTAACACACTGTCTTAGTAGAAGTAGTGATTCAACCCAAAGAAAACTGCTGCCACAGGGATAGGGCGAGTCCAGAGCCTCACGCAGGGCCTTAGATCATTCCCACTGTAGCAACAGAGCCCACTCCGAACCCAAAACACACAGTTTTCTGCACACCGTCCTAATTGCCAACCCAGTACGGGAATCTGGGAGCCTTTGGCAAATAAACTTGAACACTCTTAGGAAATTTGGTGCAAGACTTATACAGTAACAGCAACTGTCTGTCAATACCTTCCCTCCCTGCTTGTACACGGACATGCACAGCCAAGCACAGGCTGAGCCTGGGCCAAGTCCTTTCTCTGCAGGGATATTTGAATTCATTTTCAAATGGTCGTCTTGGTTGGTTTTTATCATGGGCCTCCCATCAAAGCTAGAGAAGCTCTATCTTACAAGAGTGGAGTTGTGCTGGTTATCATTGTGCCCTTCCATGCCTGAGGGGTTTCTAGGGCAGATAAAATGCATGGTCTGTCTGCAAGGTGCATGCCACCAGCATGGCTTTTGAACACCTTCTTGCACTTTCTGGTACTGCTGCAATGGGCCCCTGCTTTCATCCTTGCTCTGAGCCCAAACTCCTGCTAAATATGGAATAGGTTTGGTATTTACTTGATTGCCAGAGAAGCCCCGCTTTTTAGGTTTGGGGAAGCAAGACATAAATGTAGGATGGAAAGGACTGGGTTAGGGTCTTCGTTGTTTTTTGTTTGTTTGTTTGTTTGTTGGGTGCAGAAGACCCGAAGCAAGGACAGCAAGACAAAGGCTAGTTCTCCACTGACCCATAGAAAAACCTATAGACAAGCAAGAGAAGCCCACAAATTCTTACTTCATTCACTCAAATTATATCCTAAATAATTACTGATGGTTTTTTTTTTTTTTCCTATGTCCAGCCTGGCTTCACCTTCCTACCTCTAGACCAAGTATCCATTTTGAGATTTTTAAAGTTCTTCTGATTGTCATACAGGGCTCTTTTGTGCTGAGACTAAACCTGGCTACTGAAACAGACCCCACTGCTTTGCAGAGTCAACGCATGATCTAGAGCATGGGTCATCACAGGTCTCCAGTCTCTCTGGAGACACCCCCGATCCCTGGGTGAGTGTTGGAACCTAACAGCCGACTGTGACCCTTGTCGTCATTCCCTGTGGAGACGGGGATGATGCCATCAGAGCCTTGCTCCTTCTGGGGCTCTCTTTCTCTCCATGGCAACCATTCAGGCTGCCTAGAAATGGCTGTTGCCTCTGGTAGGAGAGAAATACACACATTAGCCAAGGAAGCTGATCTAGCACAGCTCTGAGGTTTCTCCTCCACGCAGCGAGTCCTCTGAGATGTGTGATCAGGAAGCTGGCCCGCTGGTTGCTTACTTACTACTCCAGGAGAGTAATTTTCCTTACTAGGAACTCAACCTTGGGCATCCAGATCTTTCCATAAATCACCTTAAATTCTCCCTTCTTCCTCCTCCCCCTGGGGAACCTCAGCATTGCATTCCCATGTTGCACAACACAGATCAGATTATCTGGTCGCTCTAGAGATTTGTATATAAAAGACTACTTTTGTGAAGATTTTTGTATATTGTTTTTCTATTTGTTTTCTACGGCT